AAAACGATAGATACTGAATACACATAATGAGTATATATATACACATAGAGATAGATAGGCAGACGATTAGATAGACAGATATCACCAGAAAAAAAAAAAAATTATATTATTTTCTCTTAATTATCGATTTCTTCTAAGAGACAATCCTTCAAACCAGGCTCCACAAACACTCGAAATATTAGTAGAAATATACGTAATGTAATTTCAAAATCGACTCTTCAAAAAAACGTACGAAAAAAAGGTAAAAATGAACAAAATAATCTCATTATATGCGACGAAATATTCCGGTTTTCCCGATGCGTGTGTCGCTTCTCTCGCTCTCCGACGGGACAGGCCGATCGAGAAAGCGGTGTGAAGGAGGGAGAGAGAGAAAGAAAGAAAGAAAGACAGAGAAAAGAAAAGAAAAGAAAAGAAAAAAAAGCAATCAAATTTGCGAAATATCTACGATAATTAACCTTTATTTCGTAGGTTTGTAGAAGAATTCATCGAGTTCAGATTATCCTTTTCAAAAGATTTAGAACAGAGAGGAGGTCTTTTTACGTACATATATGACTAACTTTTGGATTTCTCGACGGTCCGACGCTGTATCTGTGCGGCGGAGAAATGCATTTTTCAGCGAGAAATATTTTAGTTATCATTTTCTTGAAGGATTTAATTCCATTAGAGTAATATTCCGCAATTGCGTAGAAGATGAAAGATAACTAGCGATAGTAACCTACACCTTTGTAAAACAAATAAATTAATACGCGTGAATATATATATACATATATATCAGAAATATTGTTATGGGCTGATAGCTAAAATAAAGTAGACAACCCACATACCTAAAATTCAAGACAGATTCAACAGAAATGCTCCTACAAACGGGAATATGTAGCCATCTCATTATAATACGTGTAATCCCCATATCAATTTAGTGAAAAGTGAAAATTATTACTATTATTATTATTATTATCATTATTATTATTATTATTATTATATATACATATGTATATATATATATATATATATATATATATATATATATATATATATATATATATATATATATATATATATATTTATATATGTATATATATATATATATATATATATATATATATATATATATATATATATATATATATATATATATATATATATATTTATATATATATTTATATATGTATATATATATATATATATATATATATATATATATATATATATATATATATATATATATATATATATATATATATATATATGCGTGTGTGTGTGTGTGTGTGTTCATGTTTATATGTGCACAAGACGTTCCCAGTCGCTACTCGTCTAAACTAACCTGCTGTTACGATTTAATAATTTATTGCACACAGATGCTGTCCTTATTCGCGTTCTCTCTCCTTCCCCTTCTCCTCTACTTCCCTATATTCTCGCTACTCTCTCTATATAAGGCTTTTCTGTGTGCAAGCATTTTCTCTTCAGTTCGGGTGGAAATATAGCAACATGAATGGTATTTAGAAAAGGATAGAGATGCTAAGATGAAAATATTTCACTGTTCTAAATATATTTGACGACTGAATGTTACAGAATAACGGTTCATACAAAGAAAGATGATACATAAGTAAATGCACACACACACACACACACACACACACACACACACACACACACACACACACACACACACACACACACACACACACACACACACACACACATATATATATATATATATATATATATATATATATATATATATATATATATATATATATATGTATGTATATATATATATGTACATACACACACACATGCAGACATAAACACATTCAAACATATTTGTTGAGCACAAGTGCATATGTACATTTAGAAAAGAGAACATTTTTGTATTTTTATTATATTTGTTTATTTATTTTTTTGTTTGTTGGTCTCGATGTAATCATTACAACTTTTTCATTATGAAAAAAAATATCAAGATGTATTAATTAAACGTAACGGCAAGTAAGTTGTGTGATTAAGCATTTAAAGATTACGTGCTCAATTTAATCAGATTCGATAAATAACGTTAGTAGTCGTAATATTTAGATATTTATATTCATTCGCTGTCATACTTCTTACAGTACTGGTCAGCCGTTTGAGTCATTGATGGTGACTTTTATAAATATATGATCATTTATATGACTTTCAGTAATTCATAGTTATAAAATCTGGGACGCCGGAACGGAACGTATATTTGTATTGATGCAATAATTTTATTTTGTCAACACATCTGTGAATGAAAATATCCTTGTCCTTTTTTTTCTGCTGTTTTATGCCTATTTTTCACAGAACATAATTAAGGCGTAGTTTAAAAAAAAAGTATAATTAAATAGCAGAAGATATATAATTATTTGCTTATCCTATTGTATGTCAGTATAAAGTGGTTTATTATTATTATCATTACTATTATTACTATTATTATTATTTTTTTTTTGCGAAATGGATGATTTGGTGGATTAGCGAAATATACCAATAAAAAAGTATAAATAGATAGATAGATAGATATTGATAAAATTGCTCAATAATAAGACAATTTTAAACGATTAGACAAATATATATAAACAAATAAATGCTATAAAGATAAACAAAAAGACAAATTCATTCATTCATTCATTCACAAACATATAAATAAATAACAGAATACATTCCATAAATGAATGAATAAGTAAATAACAAACAAAAATATAACTCATTCAGGGAGCATCTCTCTGCAGTCTGTACATAGTAACACACACACACTAAATCATATTCCCCTTTCCATTACGTCCGTGAAGTACAAGTGTATCACAGCCTCTCCCCGTTGCAAATGACTGTACAAAAAGAAATGGAAGCAAAAAGCACTTGGAAACAGAAGCAAAGTTATGTTGAAAAACTCAAAGATGTATAACGAGCAGCGACGGTGTAGATACCCGCACATGCGTACATGTTGGTTTACACTTATATACAGATTTGCACATGTATATATATATACACGGCGATAAGCACATTTAGGGACAAACGCATTAACGCATTCGCGCATATAAACATACAATAAGATAAACACATTCATTCACACGTCCATTAAAACACACACACACACACACACACACACATTCACACACACACACACACACACACAATCAATCAATCATTCACACGCAAATTCACACACTCAGCCAAGTCTCCCCCCTTGGTCGTAAATGGACTACGTAAACCACCTGATTTTTACGACCCTTAACGACAATGCAGGTCTTCACTGATGCCGACGGCGCTTACGAGAGAAGCAAGAAGGTCGTGTCATAAATTCTTCGGTAGGAACGACCCAAAGAGCGAAGGATTCAAAGTCAGCAGTTTGAGAGAGAGAGAGAGAGAGAGAGAGAGAGAGAGAGAGAGAGAGAGAGAGAGAGAGAGAGAGAGAGAGAGAGAGAGAGAGAGAGAGAGAGAGAGAGAGAGAGAGAGAGGGAAATATATAATGTATAAGTATATATATAGATTTTTTGTTAAGAAAATTAGGTATCATATTATATATATGTGCATATATATAATATAATATATAATATATATACACATATATATGTATATACGACAAATATATACAAACACAGACACACATATTCTTTCTCTCCCTCTCTTCTCGTCTTCAACAAGTCGTAAATTTCACCTCCTGTTTTTGTTATATTTTAATAAAAAGTTTTGTGAATGTTCCGAACTGCGTTGTAGTAATTATGAATTATACACCTGTGGCATGCAAATAACGAGTATTTTTTCGTTTTTTGTATCTGCTATTTCAAACTAATAATTATAAGAATAAAATTTAAATGTTTTGAAAAAAATACGCACACACTACGTGAAATGTAAAATAATTTTTTCTTTAATTTGTCGCCCGAGAGAACTGGATAATTCAAATATAAGAAATAGAGGACTACGTCACTAAAAGATTTTCTCAAACAACGCGATTCTTTTCCTTATTATTTATAGACTGGTTTGAATGCAACTAATTTTCTTCTCCGGTGAACATTGTGACTTTGTATTTTTTCCGAATCCTAAGTGCGGATTTTTGCTTTTTCTTTCCTTCTCATTCTTCCGACAGTAATAAAAAAAATGTTTGAAGATTTCACATTGCAGAACTCGTATTATTTTTTTTCTCTCTCTTTTAAACTTCTCCACTTCTTGAGCACTTGTCTCTCTCTGCACCCTTTTTTCCATTTCTTTCTTTCCCTTATAGGTCAGAACAGATGCGCCCGCAGGCCTATAAATTTTTGAGTAGTTCTATTTGTTGTCAATTTGTCAGAAGGGGACCGCAGTTGACTCATTAAGCCGGGTTTACGACGGAGACAACACTTTCCAAGCCTCAAACCCTTCCTCGGGAGACACCCACCGCCTAGGATACAATTTATGACTCCCTCCCTTACCCAGTACGCTCGCTCTTGCGGTTACGCTCCTCAAAGAGTTGGCTGGAGGTCGGTAAGGAACATATTTATGACTTTATGGACTGTTTATAGGCGGCCGAAAAGGATTGTTAAGGAAGAGGAGGAAGGGAAAAATAGAGGGAAGAGAAGGAAGGCGGTGATCTGCGGCTAGTTAAGACGCCACCGGGTGTCGGCGCCGAGGACCACAGGGATCACGGGCGTGGGGCGGGGGCGCGAGATGGGCGAACGGCCTGGCGGGAGATATTTACGAGATACTTCTGGGCCGCCGCTCGCGTGCGTCTGCGGCCCGCACATGGCTGCTACTGTAGGAACGATGCCCTGTGGCATGCAGAGATCTGTCATGCAGTTTAGCAGGAGGTTAGAAAGGAGACAGAGCTACTGAGAAGAGAACCCGGAGGGCGGCCGAGAGAGATTTAGAAGAGGAAGACGCTAGTGATCCCAAGAAGGAGAGAGGCGTGAAAACCTGTAAGAGAAGTTGGCCTAATGTGTCACGGGTGAGCAAAGTTACAGCGAGACGCACATGGCGGCGCTCTTAAACAACCTGTTCGACAGATTTATGTGTCTACTCACTCTGGCCGAGGTGCACTCTCTTCATCCACGGGTAGATCTGGGGGGCGGGCTTCCCGGAGGACGAGCCTCCCGCGCTTCCAGAGGCGCCCTCCAGACTCTCTCCTCCTTCGGCTCCTTCGCCTCCTCCGCCGGAGTTGCTGCTGCCGCCCCCGCCGCCCTGACTAGAGCTGTTCTGCTCGGAGCCGCTTCCGGAGCTGCTCGAGCCCGGCCCGTTGCCGCCGGCGGAGACGGACAGGTCCTGCGGGGAGCCGACCGGGTTCGCCGTCGACGACTCTGGCGTGGGGGCGAATTTGCAGGAGGCGGAGGAGGAGGCCTGCGGCGTGGCGGCAGGCGAGGTGGAGGTCTGGTGGAGGCGCCCCTGAACGGAGGGCCCGGGCGTGGTGTTGCCGCCAGAGCCGCTCGGAGTGCCTACTGACGATCCTCCCGCCGACGCCGAAGTCACTACGACGCCCGCACTGCCTCCTCCAGGGAATTCGCTGCCGTTCGGGACAGCCGAGAGTCCCGACGGTGTGTAACCTCCGTACTGCTGTAGTGGAGGCGAATAGCAATTGTTGTAACTATTGACGGAGGCTCCGTAGTAGTCTGTGTTCACACCACTGGCGTCCTGTCCGCGCTGCCCGTAGCAGGCGGACATAGAGTTCACGAACTGATAGGAGCTCATCGCGTGAGTCCGCAAGGGATTTGCTCCACGAGTGCAGTTCTGTCCACTGTTCCACCCAATGTTGATGGATTATGGCGACACTACTCGAAGGGAAACCTCTCTAGCACTTGCACATTACTCCATATATGGGCTCGGAATACTAACACGTGACCGACAGCAACCAATAGGAATGGGCGCATGAGTGGAGGTTAACAAGATAATGAGAGTGGAAGCGGCCGCAACGAGGCTGGCCCGACCCGCGGACCCTGCGCGAGCCCTGCACCCACTCCGAGCGTCCGACCACCGTCGCCGTCCGGATAAATTACGAGCAGTCGGAGCGCGCTTGGCCCCACCGAGCGCCCATGTGACGATGCACGACTATAAACAAACCGTAAATAAGAGCATGAGGGCCGGGGATGCGCAGCAGCGAGCCGGCCGGCGCGGCCGCGACATCTGTGAGCAGCGCGGGGAGTTAGCGGCGTGTGGCGACCAGACGGCGTGCGGGCGGTACGCTAGCAGGAGGGGACGCCGCCTTGGCAGAAGTGGGGCTGCGGCGCCGACACGACCGCTCAGTGAGACGGGGGACGCCGTCCGGGGAGGGCCTCGCTCACCCCGCCCCGCGGCCGGCACTGGCACCGCCCACCCGCACCTCCCCGGGGTCCTCCCGGGGTCCTCCCGGGGCCCGCCGCCATCACTCGCCTCTCCCCCTTTGGCAACGCGCCTCTTCCTCCGCCCGGCCCATGCATTCCACCTTCGTGCTCTTCGAGGGTGCTACGCCTCCGAGCCCGCCCGCGCTGCAACCTCCGACGGCGACGACGAAGGCGCTCGTCGTCATGTGCTCGGCCCGCCCCGTCGCCACACCTGCCCCCACACACCTGCCTCACATGTGTTCCAGACACTCACACAGTCACACTTGGGCTTGGAGAACACCTTCCACGTGTACCTCCCTGCACCTCGCTTGGTATCCTGCCCTCGGTGTGCCCTCTGCCCAGCTGTCCGGGAGTCCGCTCGCCGCCCACGGGAGCGCGCGAGGGCAGGGGCGGCAGCGCAGGTGCAAGGACAGCCGCCCGACACCAGCTCCATCAGGCACGAGCCTCCCGTCACCAGTGCCCCGTATACCCAAGCGACACCCGACAGACAGACAGACAGACACTTAGACGCTTAGAGTAGACGCCTGATGGAAGCGAGGGAGTGAGGAGGGGGGGAAGGGGAGGTAACAGGAGATCGCCTGGGCCCCCTCCCCCCCTCGCCACTCATCAATTAACGCATAACTGGAGCTTATCCCTGACTTTACGGGGATTAGAAATTATTTGTCTCATTTCTGGCCTCGATTTATTTATGAACCCGCCCGCCGGATGCCCGAACCGGGGGAACCGGGTTCTCTGCGCCTCACCGGTCCGTTCGGCAAAAGTCACCAACGAATGGTTTATTTAATTCAAAGCTGGTAAGATTACATTTTTTTTATTAGTTTTTTTTTTGTTACGGTTTTCATATTGCTAATTTAGAGATAAAATTTAAAATTGGATTAGAAAGTGATCCCAGGTAAATATGAAAATAAAACAACTCGATTTGATAGGAAATTACATATGGAAAGAAAGAGAGAGACAAAGAGACAAACTGAAAGAAAAGAAAAGAAAAGACAAGACAAAAAATAAAAACAACAAACGAACCACACAAACAACAACAAACGCACAAACAACACAGACAGACAGACACACACACACAGAGCCCCGCCCGGAGTCTCCCAGCCCGAGCGCTCCGGCCATCGCTCGTGAAAGACCGGTACGAATGACAGCAATAAAGCAAGGGTGTTGACGGAAGCGATGGCACAGGAAGGAACCAGACTGATATTTTGATAAT